AACAAAATTAAGTTTTGTGAGGAATACCACATTTCCCTTCCTTACTTCCAATTATGTGTCCCTCTAGAGGTAAGAAAAGAGTAACGATATGTTTTTATTGTAGTGCACATCTCCATTAATCCATTTTCTAATAAAACTAGTTAATAATTAGAATAGTAGTATGTGTTGGAGAACCTAAAAGGGTATTTTTTCTTTTAATCTCTTCCAGTTGCTTTCATTTCAAGTTTACTGTGCAAAGCTATTTTCCGATCCTCTTTTGCATTGTTGGCTGTCATGTATGCAGAATCAACCGTACTGGACGATTTCAGCAGAAGTTAATTTTTTTTAATGGGTACATCAACATGGGTTGAATAATCTGGTGCTTCTGATTACTAATAATATGTACTCTCAAAGCAGATCTAAAATTTAGTTGCTTATACAGACAGTATTATTTTATAATGATTTTCTCTTTTTGAATAATAATTTTGCATTTTTTTTTCTTGACTAGCATTCATATTTTATTACTCCTGATTTAACTGGATTACCAACTGTTCCTGAAAGTGTAAGTTTTGATTATATTTGCAATATTTATAAAGGTTTACAAATTAAATCATTTAACAAACATCTGTAGAAATCTGAATAATTATTGATTAAACTCCCTCATTAATATGGCTTCATTCATCTATAGGAAATGCATAATTAAGTGTTAACGTAACATTGTTGGGTATTTTGGATAATATGTGCAGCAATGTGTGTGTGATTATATCTGCATTTATGCAGCTAATTTAGCTAAAATTAATGCAAGGGTTTACTTAGGATTTAGTGTGTGTATATATAATTGGAGTTTTAAATAAATAGTTATAGATATATAGTAAACTCAAAAACAAGCAATTCAAAAGGCGCCTTTCTGAAAATATAGGATTATTCTTGGACAGGTTTTCAAAATATGCAAATGATAATAGATAAATTTCAGTTAAATGCTTATTAGGGAGATACATTTCTTTAAAAAGATTATTTTAACTAGACAGAAATAAATTTATATATAATTCAGTTACCTTTATTAATGTGTTAACAGACCTTATTCTTCGTTTATTAGAGAAATCTTACTGAATATTTTGTTGCTGTGGATGTGAATAACATGCTACAACTTTATGCCAGCATGTTGCATGAGAGACGCATCATTATTACCTCCAGCAAGCTAAGCACTGTGAGTACTTCACACATCTCTTTTCAAGTAGACCATATTGAACACCTCACAAAAAGGGCTTGCATATCTCTCTAGATTTAAATATGTCCCTTGTATACTTATGAGACAATATCTACATACTCTCTTTAAAAGATGTCGTTTTAATCTGACTCTTGAAGCATGGAAGTCTGATTGATATGGGCTTACTCAAAGACATTAAGGCGGGTTAATTACTTTGTGTTACCCAGGGATGAGAGTTCTTTAACCCTCTAGAGTTATATTTCTATGCCTTCCAACCTATAAAGAATTCTTAAGGGCTATTATAAGATCTTTATTATTCACTTGTGGCTTATTCCGTTGGGCCTACCAGGCAGGAATCAAAGGGCCATGATAATAGCTGCTATCCTAAATCTGGTAGTGTTGGCGAAGATATACTGTAATGACTCTGATTTTGAGCAGCTCTTCAGACTGATAATGACTTACTATTCCAAGTCATTTTTTATTACATCAGTTTTATGCCTGTGCCTAGGTTGAAATGGCTTTCCTGTGTCATTGCAGATGGAACTGAGATAAAGGCTGTGCTGTGTTTATCCATGCCTAAATCTTTTGATAGTCCTGTTTGTTTCAGCCCGTGGTGTCATTTATAACTCTAAATCCATCACCGTTAATTTGAAAATAACATTGCCTTCATGCCAGTGGGCATCATTTATATCTTCTGCATAGTGTCTGCTTAATTTAAGCCCATAAATAAATTAATTAAACCCCCCCAAACCCTTTGCTTTACTTAATACTTTAATACCAGACTTTATTCATGCGGGCGTCTATTCTTCTCTTAACAATGAAGTGGATGTGTTAACATTTTCAAAAACTAATGCTCATTTGAAGATAAATCCATTAAAAAAACATTAATTTTAATGTAATTTAAAAAAAAACATTTTGAATGATTTGTTGGCTTTTTATTTGTGGAATATAAGTCTTTGGATCCCCCCCCCCTCCAACAAACACACAAAAACTGGTTTATCAGTTAATTGCATTACTGTAAGTTGCTTCTTATAAATTTCTTAGAAGGACTTGTGATACCATTTTCTCTTCTTTATATTCCTCTTCCTCCATTTAAAAAAAAAAGAGAAATAAAGGGCTCCTTTAGTAGGGAAAATAAAATCGCCACAAATTACAATGTTGATGTTGAAAGAGACATTTTTCTTCTCTTCAGCTACCATGGCAAGAATTTTTTTGAAAATGAATCAAATGCAAAACAGCATCAGCCATTCTGGGACGTTATATAGCTAGAATTGTTAGTGTCCTCAATGCAGCAACCTTCTTACGTATCAGCTAACTTGCAGTCTCTGGCCAATCATGGCAGACTTTGAAAATAAGCCAAGAAGCTCACACCTGGTCAGTATTGGTGTGGACCAGTCTAAGAAGTTAAATAAAACTGGGGAATGTAACAGCAAAACGCTTTTCTTGTTCCTCAAAATATTATATGCATATATTTATTTCAATTTGACTTTTTTGTTTCTTTGATCGCTGAAGTAGGGTTTAAAAGCTTAAACTAGTAAGATTCTGCAAGTGTAACCGACTCATGGTCGGCTGTGCAGTCTAACAATTACAATCTTAGCTTACGTTAAAGTAAGCTAATAGTTTTATGCTCTGAAGGTTCATCCCTATGCCCTGCTAACTCCCAACAGGTACAGCTTTAACTATTTTTAGAGGATGCTCTCATTTTTAGCCCACGGTCAAGAGAGCTTACTTTTTTTATTTAACAGTTCCAATTTATAAAGGGCATTTTCCTCCTTCGTGACAAAAGTCTTGCAATCAGTGATACCACAATGATTCTGGTCATAAGGCTGTCAGGGCTAGGATCTGTGTCGCTCCAGGGCCAACATGAGCTGGTGCAGGAGCCCCCCATCTCCTCTATCGCCTTCCTGTTGTTTGGGCAGAAGATTCCATTTTCTCCCCTTTGGCCTCAGTTCTATAGTTGCTGGCTCTCACATCTTCCGCTTCTACTCCGAGACCTGGCAGGAGGTTGGGAGGATTAGCAAAAGAAGCAGAGGGTGTTGCTTGTAGATGCCAATTCTCCAGCTCATGGAATTGATTGGTGGGATGAATTGTCTCCATCCCATCCAACCTCATCCCATCCAACCTCATTCCTCGATGGTGATTCTCAGCTTGGAAGGATAGCAAAAAATACACAGAAGAAGAATGGACTCTTTTCCTGATCTCCAAACCCACATATAACCTAAGACCAGAGGTACGAACCAGTGGTAGCAGTGGCGGGAGGCTCCGCCCACCTGCCCAGATGCTTCTGCACATGTGCAGAAGCATTGTGTGTGTGGGAGCACAGCTGAACCAGTAGTAAAAAAAAATTGGCAACCCACCACTGCCTAAGACCCAGTGGGGACAAAGGCAAATCTTTTCATTCTCCTGATAAACTATGGATGAGATTTCAATGCAATTATTCTCAATCTTTAGAAAAGGCAAAAGCAAAAAAAAATTATATTGAATATAAAACTGAAATCAAAGGTCAGTTATTTTTAATATTTTGTATCAATCTTAGATATTAAATAAGAATCTATTACCTTTACCAAGGAATTAATTTCCCATTTATTTCCTAATAAGACCAGGAGTTTTATATATATATATATATATAGGCTACTTTTGGGTAAGAGTGTTATCAATTCCTTTCTTTTGTTGAAGGAGTTGTCCTTTATCTTTGGACGTTAACTTAATATCAAGTGTTTATGAGAGTTCCTGCAGACTGAATTATGATGTCACCTCCATGTTATCAGCTCAGTTTTGGTTCGCTATCTAAGGGCAGTTAGGACCAAGATCAAACCCATAATTCAAGCCTTCTCCTTCTCCTTTTTGGGGAGGGGGAGAGAAGGGAGGTGGGAGTGCAAAATTGCTGTACTCTAATCCACATTCTTTACATTAGGAAACCCTGTGCTACTAAATTGTGATAATAAAGCACTAAACTTACTATGCAAAAAAATTTAAATATAGGAAATGCCTGAGACCAGTGGTATACTAACCATTAGGCAAACTAAGCATGTGCTTAGGGCACCAGGCCCAAAGGGGGCACCACAAAGTTGAGAAAGAAAAAAACAACAATGAAGATTTGTACAGTGTGTAAAAGGGAGGAGGGCACCAATATTTGTCATGCTTAGGGCACCAGTGAGCCTTAATACACCACTGTGTGAGACCGCGGAGGGTTGTGTTGGTGGAAAGCAACAGATTTCACTTTAAAAGTTATGAGAATTCCACGTCCGATCAGCTTCCTGGTTGTCACTATATTTGCATTTCTTACCTTATAATAGCATTTTAACTATGAATGAATGCATATCATGTGCATAATATTTATTTCCAAAACATTTAATTTATAATGTTTTTATTTTGTCATCTCACATACCCTTTGCCTGTTGTACGTCTTAAATCTGTGCTATTATATATCATAACTTTAATATTTGTGGGTGTGAATTCAGTGTATTTCTCCTCTCCTTAAACTAGCGTGAGAAGCATTTTCAGAAAGGCACTGCTAGCACATTGATTTTATGCCTGTAGTAGACAGGCCTGAGAAGTTTGGGCCCCAAGTGAACCTGCTGTGGTACTCTACCAGAACATCATGCTGTAGTCTTGTGTATTCAAAGCAAAGGAATAAATCATGATTTTACAACAGTGCATCAGTTGACTTATTGCTGTTTTGTGACCACTGGATGGGAAGGATTGCTGTTTAATGCCATGTCATTGGTTCTCAAGTCAGTCAGGCATGAAGGCTTGTCATATGCCTCTGTAATTGTACCTCTCCAGATTTCCTCTAACTAGTCAGCTGGGGCTGTGCATTTTGTCTCTAACACCCAGCTGGCCTCTGCCTGACAGCAGCCTTCTCATCATCCTGTCAGTAATATGTTAAATAGTGGGTGTCTGTTTCAAGGCCTCTGTTAGAGAAGCAGGTGGAAAGGATGCTATGCTTTAATGCAGAGGTCGAAATATTATCTCTCTTCCCCATCCCTTAAACACACACACACACACACAGCATTTCTTTATCTTAGAATGGACCAGTACGTTTGTAAGTACATTCTAACTGCATAATCTTGGCTCTTCTCACAAATAAATTTTCATCTGCATAAAAACAGCAAAAGGAAAAGACTAAGAATTAGAAAGTAAAGTGATTCCCTGCAATTGGGAGGCCGTCCTTTCCCTAACCCAGTGAATCAATTATGACCTCATGTTCTGTTAGATAACTCTTAACTAGTTGATATCTGCAAATAAGATACATTTCTTCTTATCAGTTCTTCCTTTGACAGACATGGTATTTCATTTAATGTTGTCAAGGGAATTGAGAACATTTGAAAGAAGCAGAGCAACTGACCAGATGCTAGGGAATGCAAAACAAACCCCCATTTGTTATAATTGCATTAACCTTCAACATGCCCGTCTTCCAGCTGACTCTAAAGAAGAGATTCATGAATATTTGCCAGATCCAGATATCATAATTTAGTTACTTGTACAATAATTTCTTGACACTTTTTCTCCCATTGGATGTAAGATTTATTTGCATTGATAACCTTTTCATCAAAATGCTGAATCATACTTTTAAAACTTGATCAAATCCTTAGAAGCAAGGCTGGGAGGATGAGAGAAGACGGGGGAGAAGAAATGTTTGGTCCACTCCACAATCTGCTACCTCTCAAGGATCACTGAGATATAGTGCATTTTCACGATCCAAAGTGATTCCCTCCTCTAATGTTCAATGCTGAGCCCAAAGATTGATCTTCCTTCCACTACTGGATTGTGAATTTGCCCAGTTCCATAAACACCCAGGTCTTTTTTGGACCAAGCATTACTGATAATTTGAAAAATGCAAGAGGTTGACCCTCTTTTAAAAAAAACTTTTTATGAGTTTTCTTATCTGAGTGCGAATAAGCAGATCTAAGAAAAATAAAACAACTCTACCGTAATTTCTGTACTTCTTGTATCTTCAGTTTCTGAGTCACTTGAAATAATAAAGAATTAATATCAGG